AAAAAAAATACAGACGTTAACCTAAACGACAGCACATTAGCAACTTCTGGTTCGCATCATGAGCTCACTCAAGGACGGTATGAGAATACACCTTTGTGCAGATCGCTTATTCGATTGAAACCTGACAAGATGTGCCAGTCATAAACTCAGGTTCTCTGCAAATACATAAATCTGATGCAAATGAGCTTAGCAAGCAAACATAGAAAGCAGAGAGTGCTGTCAGCAACAGCTGAATTTACCATACAAGTATGTGCGCAGACTGCACAACAAAACAACACAACACACCTGAGGATGCGCACAAAGATGCTCTGAAAATGACTTCAAGTTACCAGGCTTACCTTCCATCTGCCCTAAGAGCCCAGCAGCCTGATATCCTGGCTCCCGAGTACGCTGGGAGTGTGTTCATGATGAGTGCGCAGAGACAGACAAGAGCTCCAGAGAAGGATCAGCGCTAATATAACCACTGGGACGCATGCATACACGGACACTCAGAGCGCCTGCCCTCTGGCAAGCCGAGGAGAGCGACAGAACAGGAAGAAAACGAAAGTGAAGCAGAGGGGAGGAAAACAAAACTGTGCCTTCTACGACGGTTTGGTTTTGTTTTCACCGTCACAAGCATTTAGTGGGCTGGGACCATTCAAGACAAACCGTTCAGTCTTTCTTTCTTTGTCGCTAACATACTATGGACCCTGCCAACAAACATGAGGATAACCTATCCCGCAGATTATGTTTGGCGGGTGGTATTAATAGCAGCAGGTTGGAAACACGCAGAGCACACGCCCCCTCCGCTGGCCTCTTACGGGGCAGCTCATCTGTCTCTGTGACACTCGGACTACTGCTGCTCCATGAGAGAGTGATTTTGAATGGTGTCCTTAGGCGCGGAACATAAACAAATCAGGCTGCTCTGTGAAGCGGGGAGCGCTGGGTGTGAGAGCAGGTGTGGAGACGCAGTCTCGTGTCACGAGGTCTGTGCGCTCTCTATAATACACCCAAGGGCTCTGTGATCACCATATCAACCAGCCTGTCCTGTGGGGCGTATCTCCACCTGCCCCCCCTCGCGGGACACCCCTCACAAACATCATGATGAAACTCAGTATCCCAGCCAGTACTGGATGTAATGTACACATGAGCACATGCACTTCCACAAACATACTGCATATAAAACTGTGAGTTCTGTGTGTATTAAGATCCTTAACTAAAAAAAAAAAGTCCCAATAATTAGAGGTTTTACTATTATAGTAATAATAGCATTACTATTAATAATAGTATTAATAACTGATTATGATAACATATGATTAAAACTTACTATGAGAATCCGCCAAAAAAGATGACAATAATATAGTTGTCATACACACATAAACTGTCACAAATCCTTAAAGAATGTATAATGAAGTATATTATATTATTTCTATTTTATTGTACAGGTTTGTATATTTAATTCTTTTATTCAGCAAAGACACATTATGTTGATCACAAATAACAGTA